GGTTATGAAATTTATCGACTGGTGTGTGAATTTCACACCTTTTTCTGTTGGTTTGTCCATCTTCTTTCTTCTGAGTTTTTTTTTCTTTTCTTTATATAACTGTTGATACAGGAGTTGCTTGTGGCAGACAACTTTAGGACAAGAATCTAAACTTCAAAGACAACATCTCCACCCCATTAAGCATCTCTTCTTTTCTAAAGATTTACTAGCATATACCATCCATTACAAACCACTGCTGCATGTCATTAATTATTCATAGCTATATTATTAATTATTTGAATAATTTTTGTTTTTTCTCTTCTTGACAAAGATAAGATGGAATTGTATTGATAGCCCAAATTAAAGTAGTCTCAATTTTTTTTTCTTTTCTTAGATAATTAGGGAGAGAAATCATTGAGATTCCTGTTTTTGTTTAAAGTTTTGGTAAAGGCACTTGCACCGGCCTAATGGGAATCTAGAAAGAGAACAATGTTGAATATGTACGTAGTTACAGTTTATCTTTCTTTCTTTGTTCCCTTTCTGGTATAAGGAAAGTATGGTTTTGAAAATGAAACGAGAAGAACCTAGGATGCTCCTGTGATTGATGTGAATGTGCATGATAGAGCTTAATTGCGTAACAAAGTTGTTGACCATGTATTTCTATAATCCAAAATTGAATCATAGTGAAACCAGCTTAAACAAGGGTCATGGAATTTCTAGAACGGGCCCCACCTGTTTTGTCTTTATTAATTGATCTGATATCATTGGACAGGGTCAAGCTTGCAATCTTCGTCCTGTAGTGGGAGGTCAGATCATATGCTCCCATTACTACTTTTTCTTTCCTCTGATAGTTGATTCTAGTACATTACCATTAATAACACTGTTTGTTAAAATCATTTGTAGCAGGTGACTGTATATAAAGAGTTCAACCAAAATTCAAAGACATACAACTGCTGCACGCGGAAGCTGCAGCTTCGATCTTTTCTAACACTTGAAGCCATAATGTCACGAATTACGTCTTTTTGTTTAAGTACGTAATAGCTCCTGTAGCACTTAAATAGATATTTTCACATAAATTGATCAATACTTAATTATATTTATTTTAAAAACATTAATAATAACAACAAGTAAGATTAAAGAAACTCACATCATAATTATACTGAATATCATATATACAACCATTCAATCATAAAAAAAATATTTTATTAATATAAAACTAATTATAAAATATTCAAAGTTCGTCATGTCATACCATAGAGTTATTCTAAATAATTCACTACAAGTATATCTTTACTAGTGAGACAACTCAATAATTCACTAGTTACTCAACTCCTATAAAATATTTACGAGATTTTACAAAAATCCTATTAATAGACATTATAACGTTTGAAGACATTTGTTTTCTAAAAAAATTTCTTCTATAAAGATTTAAAATTTTTGAAAAGATGTCATCACGAGACATTATATTATTTAAAAGTGAAACATTTCGCTTACAAATATAAAAAGACTCAATCTTTTAAATAATTCTACGCTATCATCATCGGATATAAATTGACTCATGACACATAGGATTCTATATTTGTTGTAGTATATATAACTAACATATATATTACATAAAGAGAAAGAGAGAGAAATAAATAACAAAAAGGAGCATAAGTCATTAATTTAATGTTATTTTATAGTTATATGTGTATAGTATGATTAGACTATTGCAGGTAACCGACGTTGTTAAAATATGGGAAGAATTGACAGTTACCTAAAATTTGTGTGAATTATCATATACTCGGCTGAACGCTGTTTGATGCATTGAGGTCAAATACAATCAAACTCTTTCAATATATATGTGTAGTCATAGCATACTTGGTATTCAATGAGATGATGACACAGAAGAAAAATAGGATGCAGTGCAGAGAATCAAGTAATTAATAAACAAGTAAGAGAAGCAAATTAAGAAAGTAATGGATGGCGTAGTGGTGGACGGTGGGGGCAAAGCAAAGCATTAACCACGTGTTGTCAGACAAACAGTAATTATTTGGCTGCGGAATTTTGGACTGATACGTCTGCAACTCCAATTTTTTACTACACCCTCTCTATTTCTTAGTACTATATGCATTACATGGATGGATAATTGGTCATGGAGTCATGGTATGTACCTACGACCACTGTACATCCTAATATGGGAAAATATTCCTTATGTCTATTTTATTACTGTTGCTGTCAGTCCAACTTTGACACAGCCATTCCCAAAATCCAATTGCTTGTGTTTTTACATTAACTGGCACATCTTACCATTAGTGAGTATAAAAAGTAATTGTTCCTACCACATAAAAGCTGTGGCCCAATATGTCTTTCAGGTTGAATTGTCAAAAGACATGGATGCTTCCGGAAGCATTAATGTTAATAAATAAGCATTGAAATCGACATAAACAAGGTTTGTTACTTTCTGAATGATTAACATATAGATTTGAGGACTGGGCCAAGAACAATCTGTCGAAGTGGGCCTCGCCCTCTCCCACCATCTTCCACTTTTCTCTTTCATTATGGCCCAGAGACCAAGATACGAAGGTATGATATGCATACTAGAGCCTGATGAGACAGCTGCTTCTTACCTTGTCGGTAAACTTGGCCCAATTCTAAATATGCAGCCTACCCCACAAAATGCTCTGAGCGCGCTTTCTTCCTTCGACTGCTTGGAGCTTAAAAACCGTGGAACAATGAAAAGGAAACCAACACTCAAACCATGTAAGCTTTAATAATTGCTTCCATGCCGAGTGCGAACCTACTGCCGATCCTAATAGCTTACATAAGTTTACTAGCATACAACAAAGTAATTATAAGCAGCTCTTGGGCACAAGTACTCCTCTGCTGGTTCCCCCTACGTTTTTGCAGGACGACGTAGCTGCTTTATTCATGTACGTGAGCTTTATGTCATGTAATGTGATCCCCCTGCATGGACTGCTACGGCTGCAATCAAATGTAACTGCTTCCTGTGTTGCAGATGTTCCTCTTATGTTTTTGTATGTCACTCCGCTAATCTTCACTCCTGAGCTCTGTTAATTAATCAAGGTGGCCATGGAAAAAGTTAAATAATGAACTCAAAACCTACACTTAAATTTAACTAAAACGGTATCTTCAAAAGATCAAGTTATGCATACATGTATGTCATACCTGACGAGGACAACCTTGATTGCTGGGACAGTAATTTTGATCGATGATGATGGGGTTTTTAACATTGTTCATGATGATGTTTTGGAAGACAACGTTTTTCACAAACCCATTGCTTGATCTCGCCCATGTCTTAATCCGTACCCCGTTATCTGATCCACTAAAAACTGAATTTGTCAATGTCACGTTCTGAACACCAGCTTCATTGAGATCCCGTCCAAGACTGCCGATGCTGTCGCATTCAAAAATCGCAAACTATTAATGAACTCCATAATTATCATCAATTAATGCTTGCGGATCAAAATCCATGTGGGTGCAATATATTAATTAAATGATCTCTCAGATGTACGTACCTTACGCCATGTCCAGGGCCACACTTGATGGAGCTCATTACCAGGTTCCTGGTGCCTGGACCAATCGATATGCAATCGTCTCCAGTTTGAAGGGTGCTTCCGGTGATTGTCACGCCCGTTGAGGACTGGACGTGGATTCCATCAGTGTTGGGGCTTTGGTCCGGAGCATAAAGCTTCACGTTTTGAACCTTCACATCGTTGCAACTGTTGATCACAAAGTGAGTGAGCTGACTGTTGATGGAGGTTAAGCCGCTGACCAAAATGTTGTTAGCCCAATTGAATGTTATGGACTGCAATACGACGGAGCAAATCGAATTGATTAATTGCTAATAATTTTGGGACGCTTCAGTTAAAAATGTATATATAATAAATAATTAGTTAAACAACAAACGCACCCGAGCTCCAACGGGGCAATTCTTTCCAGATCTCCTGCATGCCCAAAAGCCAGCACCCTTTGCATCAAGAGTGCCGCCGATTACCGAAACTCTGTTCACCTTAGTGAACAAGATCCAGTAGCCAGAGTTCCCAAGTGCACGATAATCGGTAGGAGCAACAATTGTGCCGTCTATTCGAACTGTAATTCTGTTCCTGCAAGGGCCTCTAAATACCACGGCCTTGACCAAGTAGCGCCCATACGGAACGTAAACTGTGGCTGCTGTAGCTGACTTGCATGCCACTGCCCATGCCTTGAGGAACGGCTGGGTCGAGTCAGTTTTTCCATCTGGTTTTGCACCATACTTGATCAAATTGATACTGGACGCTGCATATGAACTAGTTCCGCAGAAGAAGAGAAGGTGGAATAATATTGCACAAGACACAACAAGCTTAGGCGCCATTTAATTATACTATAAGTATATGAGAGAGGCAGTTGATGAATCCAACGATTGGCGGTTGGAGCTATTTATACGGAAGGACTCTGCATGTTATTTCATTGCTCTATTTAATTATAATATAGCTAGGGTCAAACTAATTTTAATTAATTTGCGCGTCCATGATTTGTGGTACTGGCGTTGTGTATGATATGTACGGAGACAAGTGATAAGCTATGAAGCAATCATTTGGTTTAATATATATATATATATATATATATATATATATATGTAGAGAGAGAGAGAGAGAGAGAGAGAGAGAGAGAAACAACAGGCGAAGCCATGTGAATGTGATGATGCATCGGTTTCTTGAGGAAGTATATATGTTAGATATGGTGAGCCTAGATTAATTTGAACAAGTACCGTTTCTCATGAACGAAGGCGATCATGTACAGATCAGAAACCACTCGCATTAATTATTGGTTCTTGCATGGTAGCAGCAGATCAGCTGCCATCTATATATTTTCCCATTGCTGGCTGCTGCTAACTGCTAAGAGAAGAAACAGGCACTCTAGATCTAGCTTAATTTGATCATCATCTAATATGTATAGCCAGCTAGCAAGTCCAGCAAATCAAGTTTTGATAACATCCACAATCTTTTTAATGGAAGAGAGATTCATAAAAGGTTCTTCCTGTTTCAATTAATTGATCTTAGCCGGGCCTTTTGCATATTTGAGTTTGGCCATGTTTGTTAGAGGAGCAATATCTTTTTTTTTTTGTTTTTTTATCATTTTTTTCTATTGAGATTGAGCGACGCCAATCCCATAATCGATCACCTCCATTCAAAGTAACCACACATGGATTATCTTCCCTTAATCCTCAATGGCATACATTCTTTCCTTTTCCTATATGTTTACGCTAATATATACATTCATTAGAGAGGAGATGCGCCATGCATGCCACATCTTCATTCCCTTCAATCCTCACCGTGATTAACTAATGAAGATAGCTTAAGCACAAGGAAAGATCGATCCTGCCGGCAATTAAGCTAGCTTACTTGCTTGATATGCAGGGTTATTCAGTTCCCTAGGCAATATAGTTATAGTATCAACACCATTAACCTTTTCCAGTAGCTTGTTCAAGAAGGAATCCCCATGTGACCAACTCCAATTCAAGGGAATGAAGCCCTTTCCGCACACATTAGGCCCGTTCTTAGTTGAATTCGATTACTTCAAGTCTAATAGTTATTTACTGTGCTTTATTTGCTACAAGCAATTGACTTAATAATTATAGTTAGGAATACTGGGAGCAAATCCATTAAGTTTTATATATATATATATATCATTTTTCGGTACATATGCATGATTGGGCATGAATTTCCATCAAAATTGCCCGCGGATATTGGATAGAGTAGCTTTGCTTAATACATATGCTAAATGACAATGTGCTCATCATTGTAATTAACTAATAATTGCTGTTTATCTAAACTTGTTGATGGCTATATATATAAAGAAGTCTAATTTGCTGTTTTGCACAATCAAAATTGATTAAACTTACAACTTTGGGTGTAGGATGTTATTAGAGAGTGAGAATAAAAATTAATCATTTTGTTCTCTTAATTACTTGTGTAAGAGTTAGTCTTCAAGAAAGGGCTAATATACTAGTTTATATATATTAAGATAAGGCCACATGCAATTCGATTCAATTTAATTTTAGATAAAATTTTTTTTAACATATAGTAATTAGGGTTGCATATGGTTTGATTTGATTTTGGATAAAATTTTTAATTAAATTATAATATTTTGGTTTTAAAAAAATGAATTGAAATCCATTCAATTTTTTTGTTTTTTATACATTTGAGTATTTGGTTCATTAATTGGTACATGATTATTTGTCTAAAAGGTAAGATTCGAATCGTCTTTCTCCTAATTATAAAAAAAAATACTTTACTTTTTTAGATACTTTTCATTTATCAATTTGTGGATAAAAAATAAACTAAATATATATAATTAGTATTCGAATAAAATGAAACAATAAAAAATGAAACTAGATCGAACTTTACTGTTAGAATTGATTTTCAATATTCTCCTCTTTTTTTTTGTTGTCAATCTTAATAGTAACCAAAAGAATTAGTTAACCTAATCATTAATGCCGCTGCTTACGGCCTAACATGCGTGATCCTTGGAGGAGCAGTATTCTTGCATAATATATACATACTATAATTAAGTAATATCATATTATATAAAATAAAATTTTAATATGACAGTACTATCGATAATGATTTGCATGCACATGGGAAGGGAGGATCCACTAAAGTAATTTCTTGGAGAACATTTTGATTAATTCAGGTTCGTGACAAGAAGTGGCTAAGCACACTTTAATTAATTATGTATCATTTTTTCCTGGACATCACTTAGATTCCTCATTATTCTTCTTATGAACATGAAAACTACCACATGATCTACTTTGACCTAATTTGATGATAATGTTAAATTCTATTATACTAATGTTTCCTTATTGATCAACCTTAATTAGTACGTTAATCAAAAAATGCATGAACCAGATGGTTTGTGCCTAGCTCATCTAGCTAATTTAGTTTTTAATTCGTTCACACAATATATGCCTTGATAAACTGAAATTTATGTCCATTAATTAATTATCCTTCATTAGAACATGTTATTCTTGAGTAAATCGAGACTGACCAACACAATTCCTTTGTTATTTATACCATATATATATATATATATACACCAAATTAAGAAAGTGGCTTCTAGGCACAGTGAGAAATGCCGATTTCATCTCCGTCATCTACTCCACCTGTCACGTCCCACGTTGCAAAACAATGCAACTTCAATTCAGACCATGCATGTTCGTTCCAATTTTAAGAAAACCATATATGTGCAACTGCAATTAATTCAGACCATTCATGTTCCAAAATCATTTCAATTAGGTATGTTCTCATTGATATTCAATTTAGCAATAGGAAACTGCCAACCCAACCCAATGTAGGATATGGAATGCACAAGATTATTCGGTACCCAATATTGCTTGTCTAATAAGTCAGCCACAAAACATGGGGGCCATGTGATACTGATCAAACACTTTATATATATATATATGGATAAGCCTTTTGGCTCCTGAACCTACAACTAATGTTAGTGTATGTGTTTATTCACCATCTAACAGATAAAATCAACTTAATTTGTTTATCAAAAATAAGAGTACTTATTGATCTCTCAGTCAGATTAAAATTTTAGTTCTTTGGAAAAAAAAAAAGGCTCTTTTTTCGACATCAAAATCAATTAGCTTAATATATAGAAGAGTACTGTACCTATATAAATATAAAAGGAGAAAACCTTTTAGGGTATGGCTAGCTAGCTAGCTAGCTAGGAAGGAGATGGTGATGTTTAGAGGATTAATGAAGGAGGATTTGATCATCTGGTGACCAATCAAAGCAAGTGAAGCGCACATATAACAGACACGAGTTGCGGATTTTTGCTGTGTCACGTTAGCTGCCGCTGCCTCTTCGCTTCTCTCTTAATTAATTTATAACTGCTATTAACTTAACCTTGGAAAATTTCTCATTTCAAGCAACCATGTACATGTACATGCATCTGTCCTTTTATCTACTTTTCGGTAGAATTTTAATCCATTTTTTATTTTGACCTTTTCGGTTGCTCATGTGCTTTGCCTTCTTTTCTCTGTTTCTTCAATTCATGTCAAAATGTCATTTATTTTATTCTTTTAATTAACGACTTTAATTACTAGAATATACAATTAATACTCCATTGTCTTGGGTGTGTCCATTCATTGTTAATTACCTACTAGTTTAATCTTTAAAATTTTTGTTCTGCCTCGCGTTCATCGCCATGGTTTGAACTGTTTCTGTTGCACATATGTTGAAATACGCCTGCAATTTCCATTAATTGCATGGAATGTGTTGCAAAGAGCTAGCCATAGGCATAAATGTGCAAATTGACAAGTACCACCTCGTCAATATCACTGTGATTGCTTGAGGATCGATTAAAAGTCATGCATGCGAGAAAATGCAATGCTAAGCCCCTGGCATCCATGCGGCTGGCCAGGATCATTATACTAGTATATCTTTTTCAAAGCAACTGCAGAAAGGCTTTTCATAATAATAATTATTCTTGAAATCCGGCGCAGCTTGCTTCTGATTTCTGCCAATCCATGCCTCTGAACACAACATTCATTCAAATCTTATGCTCTATAAATACCCCCCCAAACTGTTTAATCTCCCATCATCATAAGTACTTGATCAGTTTCTCTATCTCTCCCTAGATCTCTTTGTGTATGTCATTCACATTTTCTGTCGACTACATAAATATACTCCTATGGCAAACACGATGACTCATCCTTCCCTTCTTTTCCTCGCACTTCTCCTTCTCTTCTTTAACTCATCAGTAGCAGCCGTCATGAAATTTAATGTGATCAGTTACGGAGCCAAAGCCGATGGCACAACTGACTCGACCAAAGCCTTTCTTGCTGCATGGTCTCAAGCTTGTGCCTCGACTATACCTGCAAGCATCTACGTACCGAAAGGGAGGTTTTTGCTACGCAATGTGGACTTTCGTGGCCAATGCAAGAACACTGCTATTTCAATACGAATCGATGGAACCCTCGTGGCTCCGGTGGATTATCGGGTTATTGGAAATGTCGATAACTGGCTTTCTTTTGAGAATGTTGATGGAGTTTCCATTTATGGTGGAAAACTTGATGGGAAGGGTACGGGCTTGTGGGCTTGCAAGAATTCAGGCAAGAGTTGCCCCTCGGGTGCTACGGTAAGTTGAATGACTAAATTAATTGCCCATACGTATCCTTTTACAATGAGTGTTGTCCAATGTCAAACTAGGAGTACTAGCTTTAGTTGCTTCAGGCTTCACAGTGGGAGGGAAAAGGGCTTTAGTTGAAGTACAGGCGTACGTTACTTCGCCAGACTTTCAGTTTGGTTCATTAAACGTTGACGCTTTCCTACGTTTTTCACGCATACCCAGGCCAGACTGGAATACTTGATAGTGGAATTGGATAGTCAATTCCTTTAGATTCTTTTGGCTGAGGTGCTTAATGTTCTAGGATAGTTGGACGTTGACGAGTAACTGTCTAATTTATAGCTTTGTTAATTAAAGAACCCCGCCAAATATATATATATATATGCATGCAATTAATCCTCCTAGTTAGCAGTTAATTTTTCAGAACAGAGTTTTTTTTTTGGCCAATTTAAAACTACTGGCAGCCTTTACTCTGCGAATGTGATCAATCTCTAATGCCACGATAAGCTAAGATCCAAGAAAAGAGTTCACACATAGGTCAACCATGTGCACAGGCTTGCTTTGATCTATATATAGCTTTCATTTCTGGACATTAGTTTTCTTTTGGTTATATATGTATGAAGTATAAACTGAGAAACAATTCAAAGCTCAATCAATCACATGTATAATTACTTGTCAATGCAGTCACTAAGCATTAGCAATTCAAAGAACATCGTCATCATGGGATTAACATCACTAAACAGCCAGATGTTCCACATAGTCATCAATGGCTGCCGCAATGTCAAAATGCAAGGAGTGAAGGTCTCGGCGCCTGGTAATAGCCCCAACACCGACGGAATTCATGTACAACTATCCAGCAGCGTCACGATCCTCAACTCCAGGATTCAAACAGGCGATGATTGCATCTCAATTGGCCCTGGTGCCACTAATCTCTGGATGGAAAACATCGCATGTGGCCCCGGTCATGGCATCAGGTAAACGTAAACACCATCATATATATAGAGATATCTATTCATATAAGTCGTGATTAGATTTAATAAAGAAAGTGTTATATATTCTGAAATTGTGCAGCATCGGAAGCTTGGGGAAGGACCAAAATGAGGCTGGAGTGCAGAACGTGACAGTTAAAACAGCCACATTCATCGGCACCCAGAATGGGGTGAGGATAAAGTCTTGGGCCAGACCGAGCAATGGTTTTGCCAGCAATATTGTTTTCCAGCATGTTGTTATGAAAAATGTCCAAAATCCCATTGTTATCGATCAAAATTACTGCCCTGGCAACAAAAATTGTCCTGATCAGGTTCGTGAACGTTGTTTGTTGAGAATTCACTTTAATTTCAAGTTTGCTACTGATCAGTGATCATCATTTCCAATTGCAGTAATGGTGGCTATTTAAGATATATGATGTGTGCTGTCTGTACAGGTTTCTGGTGTTAAAGTTAGTGATGTAACATACCAGGACATACATGGAACATCGGCAACAGAAGTTGCAGTGAAATTCGATTGCAGTTCAAAACATCCTTGCACTGGAATAAGATTGGAAGAGGTGAAACTTACATACAAGAATGAGGCAGCTCAAGCTTCATGCAGCCACGCCGGTGGAACTGTTTCTGGTCTTGTTCAGCCCACGAGTTGTTTGTAGTTCTTGGACTGAAATTAAGCCAGCTAAGAGTAATGCAATTATTTTTGCATTGTATTAGAAGAAGAAGAAGACTAGTAGTAGTAACTAGTTGAGAAGGTGAATGGAAGTCATTACTCTTTCAATTTGATTGCCTGTGCCTGTGGCGTTGGTAGCCCATTGGGTTAGATTGGAGCCTGGCCCTGCAATCTGGATAGTACACTGTATTACTGTACCTAAAGAAAAAGCCTATCTGGGCTTTCTTTATAGTGAAATAATCAATATTTTGTAGTATAAATTTAGCCAAATTCTAGATGTTGATTGGTTCAAAGTTTAATCGAATGTCATCAACCCATTGATGAAACAGCATTTCCGGGGATTGCTGTATATTAATATGTTTACTAGCATTCCTCTCCCTCCAGATATATTAATAGGGGTAGCCTGTCCAGCCAGCCTTAGCAAAGACTTACCTTTCAAAGATGTTTTTGCCCATAAAAATCCTGCAGGCCAATCTCCAGGAACCCTTCGAATGAAAGATATTTGCAACACTCTGCTGCAAACATTCTTTTAATGGCTGCCTGTAAACAACAAGTAATCTCTACTCTCCTTCTCAGTATTGCATAGACAACAAGGAAACGGTAACCACACGATCTTAATTAGCCTGGACATATACAAGTACTCAATCTATCGGGAATTGCCAACCATGTGATAAAAGAAATCTTGGGAACATGGCCTGGAAACCAAACCAACCAATGTCAAGGAACATGGGACATTCCTAGTCTCTGCAATGTTAAATTTTACCTGAAGGACCTGCCACAGTTAAAATATAACTAATTTCAACAAATGTTTATGGACACATCTTATCGAACTCTTTTATTGTAGCAGTACTGTGCATGACGCATGCTTCCAGCTCTAAAAACATGGAAACCTTGAAACGAGGCAGCATGCCTGCATTTCTGAATGCACCAATATTTACTATTTACAATTAATATTGCTTCATTATTGTTTGTATTTATGTATAAGGTGAGCAGTACTTCAACTTAGGATATCAATTTTTGTACATTTATGTAATAAATGAACATGTGATCCTACCCAATGCCCATAATATATATAGAAGCAGCCTAGGAGGATTTTCAAATACTACTTACAACTCTTTAAGCCCACGCTCATTATTAATTAAGTATTTCAAATGAATATATATATATATATATATGCATGATGCCTATGTATATTTATATGTGTGCATGTATAAGGAGAGATAGAAAGTTGTGCAACTGAATATGTATGCACGTATGTATATTTATATGTATTTATTTGTGTAGTACAAGTTTGATTGTTGGTATTAATCAATTATTCCTCGACCGGTCAGGCCTCTGGAAGTTGAATCGGATAAAAGAGATGACTAAAATAATATATTTGATGCCTATACACAGACACTGACGGAAAAGGAGGCAAGTTTTGTCAAACACCATAAGAAACCTATCAAATGATGAAGATGGGAAATCTAATTAAGAAATTGCTATTTGATGAATACGAGGACGTTCGTGACAGACAAATGGAGAAGGAAGCAGGCAGTGAAGCAGGAAAGCTAGCGTTGTTCTCGTGCTTAAGCTTAAAGCAAAGCGTTATGCGCACAACACAACAATACATAACATAGCACCAGAAAACAAGGACTACGGTAGGGGCCTCATTCTCTGCTTCTGGTGACGGCTCTGTCGCATATGCTTTTGCTAGTCACGTTAACTGTAAAGACTTTCCTTGTTTTCTTAACTCATTACTCTATGATCAGAATATTATTTAACGAAAAAACCATAACCCTGGAAAGCAGAGATCTCCTATCGCAAGCAACCACATACCTCACACCTACACATTTACTGCCATACCCCTCTGCTGCTGCACATGTCAGCAGTCATGCCCTCTCATTCCTTTGTTTCTGCATCTTTTTTTGTTTGATGTTTTTTTCCTTGTGTTCTCTTCTACCCCCTTTTTTCTTATGCTTTTCTTTGATAACCTCTTAAATTAAGTACAGACAAAATGATAGACTTAACAATACAATAAAGACCTGCTTTCTTCCATTTTCTTCTCCAAGGCTATAGTTCACGTTTGTAGGAACTTTCCATGCACCAGTTATCGTCTGAAATTAGGATAAGCCAGCGCATGTCTTGCTCCATTAAACTTAAACTAATTGTGTAAGCATAGATCGATTCTAACCAATTTTCGAGCGACGAAGGATTACTTACACATTATCACCTTTCTTTTCCATAAAATTGGAAAACTTTGAGCAAGCTTTTCAAGAAGATGACAACCCGATAGCTAGCCTGAATGCCACTATATGATACAAAAAAAGTTAATGCGTTTACATGTGAATTTGACAATGAGGAAGCGCCATGATTTTCAACATACTTAATTAGTATTATACTAGTCAAACAAATGGTGGCTGCATGGCTATATCCAAAGACCATATTGTAATTGGTAAACAGATCAAAAAGTTCGTATCTGATCTCAATGTTCCGCGCTACCAGGCTTGCTGAATGCTGACGCATATAGTTATACCAAACTGCCAATGCCCTTCCAAGACCCGATATCTTATAAATACCCCTTTCAGCAGTTTCATCTCCTCACACCACACTCCCCAGCCTTCTACTCTCTCCTCTCGTATTCAGTACTCAATACTAACAACCGCTACTTTTTCTCATCTAAAGGAAAAAAAAATTAAAAATAAAAACTGGAACGGGCAATCAATTCTATTCTTTTTCTTGCAGGACTTGTGCTCCTCTTCTTCACTTCATCTGGCGCAGCTCCATTGGCTCCTACTTACAGCGTGCTTAATTATGGAGCCAAACCAGATGGCAATTTTGACTCAACCCAAGCCTTTGTTGCTGCATGGACTTCGGCTTGTGGTTCCATAAACCCCGCAACCATTTACGTCCCCCTAGGGAGCTTTTTGCTGCGCAATGTGGTGTTCCGTGGCCAGTGCAAGAACAGTGCTATTGTGTTTCGTATTGATGGCACGCTTGTGGCTCCATCGAATTATAACATTATTGGAAACACCGGAAATTGGCTTATCTTTGAGCATGTGAACGGGGTTTCCATTTATGGTGGGATACTTGACGGTCAAGGCGCTGCCTTGTGGACTTGCAAGAGGTCAGGCAGAGGCTGTCCCAGCGGCGCAACGGTGAGTTTAGCAATGAATTGAACATTATATCAGTAACCAACGTTAACCTTATCTAGCTCCTTTTGGTCATGACCTTGTTCTTTTCTCTTTCTTCTTAAATTTGATACCGTTGGCATATTTTGAAGCTTAGAAGTATGAATACTTTGGCTTTGCAGTCTTTGGGATTCAGCAATTCGCGGAACATTGTAATAAATGGATTAACACCGCTAAACAGCCAAATGTTCCATATCGTCATCAATGGTTGCAGTAACGTAAAAGTGGAAGGTGTAAGAGTGTCTGCCTCTGGAAACAGCCCAAACACTGATGGCATTCACGTGCAATCTTCAAGCGGTGTCACCATCCTCAACTCCAGAATTGGAATGGGGGATGATTGTGTCTCAATTGGCCCTGGCACCAGCAATCTGTGGATTGAGAACGTTGCATGCGGACCTGGCCATGGGATCAGGTAAAAAATGATCATCTCTCTTATTTACACATATATATCTGCAAATAAACTAGCCGTAGTTATGATTATGGAATGGCCCTTTTAACATGGGAATTTGGGTGGTTGGACTTTGGAGCAGCATTGGGAGTCTTGGCAAGGAATTTGAAGAGCCTGGTGTGCAGAATGTGACAGTTAAATCTGTTACGTTTACCGGTACTCAAAATGGGGTGAGAATTAAGTCTTGGGGGAGACCTAGCAGTGGTTTTGCTAGAAATATACTTTTTCAGCATGCAGTCATGACTGATGTCGAAAATCCTATTCTGATTGATCAGCATTACTGCCCTGACGAGAAAAATTACCCTGATCAGGTATATATATATATGCAGGAAATTTATGCAGTTTGAATTTATCCTCTCTTGGCTTATATAACTTTGTAACTTTATTTATTTATTTATTTATTTATTGCTGTTTTCTTTTCATATTGACTCAAGTAGGTTTCGGGAGTTAAAATTAGTGATGTTACGTACCAAGACATCCATGGAACATCAGCAACAGTAATTGCACTGAAGTTTGATTGTAGCTCGAAGAATCCCTGCACTGATACAAGGCTGGATGACGTGAAGCTCACCTACAAAAATAAACCCGCAGAAGCAGCCTGTAGTAATGCTGATGGAACAGCTTCTGGTTTGGTTCAGCCCTCAAGCTGCTTGTAGCTCTTGAAGATTTGATAAAACTGGAAAATATCAAGAACAGAGATGAAAGAGAGCCAGAGAGAATAAACGAAGGAGATGAAAGAGAAGAATATTGGGTCAGCACAAAAAACGGTGTGCATAGCCTCTTTTCATATAACAAACTATATATACATGACGACAAAAAAAAGAAAAAATAAAAAGGGGGGCCAGCTGGTGGAGTAACCACTTGGCATTATAACCTTTTAGATGGAATGGTGAGATATGTCTTGCCACAAGTCATTTCTCAACTACTGAAATGATGTAGTTTTGAAAAAGATACAATGAATTAAGACTTGAATTCTTGCATGTGAGAAAAGTAAATAGCCACACAGCAGATGGACAAAATGAAAAAAAAGTCAAACAAGCTAAAAGCACCTAAAGAAATAAAACAGTAGTTAGTCTTCTTTTATTTGAATATATCGAGATTCATCACCACTATTGCTGCAAAATAAAACACCAGATTTCAACACACCTCGTTGGTGTTCATTTTGCAGATTCCCAGTAAAACTCCCAATGTAAGAAACTTGTTTTTGTTTAGACATTTAGTGAAAATATCAGCTACCTGATCATTTGTTCCACAGTGAATAACATCAATCTCATCATCTTTTACTGCATCTCTAATAAAGTGAAATTTCACCTTAATGTGTTTTGTCCGTCCATGATGAACTGGATTTTTAGCAATGGAAATAGCTGATTGATTATCAATCAATAATGGAGTTCCTGTCTTCTGCTCAAATGCCAAATCTCCCAAAATCTTCTTGATCCATATAACTTGGTTTGCAGTAGCTGCAGCTGAGGATTGAGCTACCACCTCAAAAGGTTATTTGTATGAATTGCATACCCAGAAAATAATGCATTTCACCTAAATTTGTCATTTCAAATTCTGCCATCAGCTTAGTCTTGCATTCTATCACAAAGTTATCATCCAAACCAGTTATTAGAAGATCATCAACATATAAAGAGATTATAACCACAACAGTCTCAACTGACTTGTACACATACAAGGTAGGTTCATTTGGACTTCTAACAAAACCTTTTGCAATAAGAAAAGCATCAATTCGATCGTACCAAGCTCTTGGAGCCTGCTTTAAACCATACAATGCTTTCACAAGTTTGCATACCTTTCCTTCAGTACCTGGTTTGATGAAGCCTTCAGGTTGCTGGATGTATATATCCTCAGACAAATAACCATTCAAAAAAGCTGATTAAACATCCAGATGAAGGATTTTCCATCCTTCCCGAGCAGCTAAGGCAGAGAGCAGTCTTATGGTATGATGTCTTACTATTGGAGTAAAGGTTTCACAGTAATCAATACCATAAATTTGTGAGTACCCTTTCACTACTAGTCTGGCTTTAAACTTGTTGACTGTACCATTTGTATTGAGCTTGGTTTTGTAGATCCACTTAACACCTATGATGTGTTGATCTGCTAGCTTATCCACCAATATCCAAGTCCCATTTTTTTTATCATCTGAATTTTCTGCTCCATAGCTTTTAGCCATCTATTATCTATTATCTTTTGCTGCTTCATAGTAACAGATAGGTTCTACAACTGCCACATTACATCTTACATATATTTTGCAGATCTGGTACCCTTGACTACCAGATGTTCTGCTTTTATATCCTCATCATTATCAGTCTCACACTATTCATTCTCTGATGTCTGACTAGAACTACCAAAACTCTCAATAACTAGCTTATCCCAGTTCCACCATGACTGTTCATCAAACCTGATGTCTTTGCTTACAAAAATCTATTTTGTCTCAATATTATAGAGCTTATAGCCTTTAGTAATGTCACTCAAGATTTGATAAAACTGGAAAATATCAAGAGCAGAGATGAAAGAGAGTCAGAGATAATAAACGAAGGAGAGGAAAGAGAAGAATATTGGGTTAGCACAAAAAACGGTGTGCACAGCCACTTTTCATATATTCTGTAACAAACTTTATATACATGACAAAAAAAGAAAAAATAAAAAAAAAGCCAACTGATGGAGTAACCACCTGGCATTATAACCTTTTAGATGGAATGGTGAGATATGTCCTACCACAAGTCATTTCTCAACTACTCAAACGATGTAGTTTTGAAAAAGATATAATGAATTAAGATCTAAATTCTTGCACGTGAGAAAAGTAAATACTCACAGTAGATGGACAACACCTAAAGAAATAAAGCAGTAGCTAGTCTTCTTTTATTTGAATATATCGAGATTCATCACCACTGTTGCTGCAAAATAAAGCACCAGATTTCAGTAGCAAGTCGGATGGCAAATAGCACTAATTAATTAATTATTGCCTTCAAAGTGGTAGCTAATAGCTATTGATCCCCGAAAAAGGCTCTTCCTATTCAAATACTTGTACCAAAATGTAGTTGCTCTATGTGTGGAGTCATTCTTTCAGCCTGTGACTATATATATATATATACACACACATATACATGTCTCAATCTTAAGCTTGCTTGAAGCCTGATCTACTTGTTATATACAGTATATCAGCAGAAACCCTTTCTTTGGGAATTCTTATTACGATTTGTGGTTCTTGCTTGCTGCGATTAACATTGGATATAAATCATTGGGTGTTATGATTCATTTTCCTGATATGACTATTTGGACCATTGCTTCAAACAAGCATTAAATTCGAAAAGATCATGAATTTAGTCTTGAATTAAGAAGCCAAATTGATCATGAATTTATCAGCAAAATTATCAACAGCAGCAATGAGTGGCACAGAATTAAAGCTTGGAAAGTGGTACCATCCTAAGAGAGAGACTGTGCTTTGGGGGGGTGAAAGGTGCACCGGCATGCCATTCACTAGCGCCTAGAGGGGTGGTGCCTCATTGGGCTTTTGTTGGGGGCCCAATTGGGCTTTGCTTTGATTGCCAACAGGTTGTCCCTATAATTTATTCAGGAATCTCGATTCACCAACAGGACCGACACGGACAGAGTGAAACATAAGCTAACAAGAATCCAGAGGCGCAGGAGTTGAGTTGCCGCCAAAACATCCGAATGGGGAGGAGAAGAGGGACAAGATATTCTCCAAAATCATATAAATCGGACCACCCCGTCGCCGCCGCTACTCCTCTTGCTAATCTAACCCTCAACTCTGTAAGTTTTCTTCCTTCTTTTCATTCTAATAGTAATACGTACAAACAATAGATTCTCTGTTATTTATGATAACTATAATTAGTGAGTGTTGGGGCTACAGGTGCTGTTGCATGATTGGTGGCTGGGCAGGGCGCGGCCCAGGGGTTTAGCTATTGGAGGATTTGAATGCAGAGGGTAACTTCAACTTAGCTTCAATTTTGCTTTCCTTTTTCTTCAATTTTTCTTTCTGAAAGCATGACTCCGAGTAATTAATTATCCTTTACTTGTGTTCTTTTGAGTGGAATTGGATGGACATGGAGGACAAAGTCCGACATAACTTTTTGCTTGTTTTATTGATTTGATGCATACTGGGTTTTTTGATAAACAGGAGACAAGGACAAAGAGTGTTCTGTTCTGCAGCCATTGCCAAAAGACACGATGCCACCACTCTTGAGACTGCGGATGGCATCACAATTGCAATCTGCGGCTTCATCAATACCTCTCGTACGCATCAAAACGGCTTTCCACTTGAGGTAACTAGTTAGTGCCATTCATTCTATCCTGCTTGTTTGCCAAAAATATCATCATTTCCCTAATATTATTGCCTTGCTGCCTTGTGTATTTAACTTAGGAATAGCTAAACCAAATTGATAATAGAATAATGCCACTACAACTACAATGCTTTTCAAAGGTACCAAGTACAAATTTGGATGCCCTTCCTGGCAGAATCATAATATTGCAAGCACTCTGTCAAGTTTGCCGTGCACATTTGTAACTCGCTTTTGGCAAAGATTGCAGCTCAAATTTCTCAATGTTAATCCTTGCAGTTTTGCAGTCATTTCCTCTTTGGATTTCCATATGACTGGGAAGAATATGCTTCACAGTATTCTAATGAAGAATCGGCTGGTAGAGGTACTCAAGCAAGCATGTCTTCTGGCAGCAATGCAGTTTCTTTCTTGCCAGCTTCTTTAGACAATCTTCCTGCTACAAGGATACGTGATATTTTAATGTTTTCTGCTGGAGATTCCGAAAACTCTATTCTGAAAAGAACTATTACCGATCACGTGCTGGGAAAACTCAGTACTCATGCTTCTCAAGATGCAAGAACATCAGTTGATTCAGACATGGGAAACACACATTCAAATACCTGTTCTTATTCTGCTGATGGTGAAAATTCGAATTGTCATAAGAAGGTGAAGGTTAATAGGAATCATATGGATGATAATAACATCTCAGATTCAAGGAGTACAATAACAGTGGAATCTCAGAATGATGTTCAGTCTAAGATGCATGTAAGCATCCTTACCCGACCAACAGGTGTTACCACCAGAAGCATGACTAGGTTGAAGTATCTTACAGAAAAGCAGGAGGGCTTTCATAAAAGTCTTCTGTAAAGCATATAAAGGCTGTTTAACTTTCATCACCAGTGGCCAAAGGAAAGCCATCATGGAGAAAATGAAGGAAACAAGCAGGCTATAAGAAACTCTCAGCCAAATCCTTCATCATACCCCCAAGTATTCCTCAGTTTTCAACATCAGAGCCTTCCACAAAGCATCCCATGAAGATAGCTACTAGAAGTGCTTTAATAGGGAGTCAAGAAACAACATTAACAAGGCAGGAAGTTGACATTGTTCAGCTTTCATAACCAGAGGCCATCGTAAACCGGTCTGGAGAGAATCCAGAGAATTAGCAGGCTGAGAATCTTTCAGCCAAATCCTTCATCATGCCTAAAAGTAATGCTCAACTTTCAATATCTGAGCCGTCCAGGAAGATAGGAACTAGAAGTGCAGTAAGAGGGAGGTGCTCAACAGCATTAGCAAGACAGAAAGGTAATGTCAGAAATCCTATTAAATCAGCCGAGAGAAGGTGCCAAGATAAAACTCTTGGTAAAGATCAAAGAGTTGTTTTTTCGGCCCCAGTAGTTAAACATGGGATTTCTTCCAACCATGGTTCTAGTTGTCATTGTGAAATATTGTTATATAATTTATTATGCAGTTTACTTATGTTTATCTTATACCATTAGATATGTTGGTTCAAGGAGAACTTCTTGTGGCTTGCCAAGTTCAGTCTATCATTTCTCAGACAGTGAGCTTTTTTGGGAAAGTAATAACGGAGCTCGCTCTTCCAATGGCCTCTTCCTTTATATTTCTATCGACCCAAAGAGAAGAATGAATTTTCTTCCAGCCCTTAACGTTCAGAGTTGCTAAAGATGTGCCCTTTGTTCACAGGGATCTGGCTTGGGGCTTCTTGATAGAGCATTGACGCATCGTGTAGGTGCTCCCAAGGGAGCTTTGGGCTTTGTGTGAGGTGCTTATTTACACTGCTTACTACAACAATTAAAAAACCTGAAATCAAGTACTTACATTTAAATTATTTTCATAATGATAACAATACAAATTGGCTAAGCTATCGTCTATTGGAGTGAAGGTCATGTCAATTGAAATTTTACATATTTGAGCTTTCTTTTTTTTGCTCTCCTAATTATTCCGAATACTGTCTATTCTAGCCTAGTCTCTTAGGACCTTGGGTAGAAAGAATATTGTCAACAGACCAAGCCCAGAGCTTCTGCTGCACTTCTGCGACTTTCTCCGCTACAGACCCCAACCAGCATTCCCATCAGCAGTTCCCTCTGCTCCACCTTCAAAAGCTTCTCTAATCCTCGAGCCACCATCTCCATCTCAGGCTGTGCAAATAATCAAACATCATTTGCATTAACGACTAAACCCTAACTAAGTATCAAGAAAAGCCAACACAACGGTAATACCCAGTTAGTAACTTATGAAGAAACAAACTACATACAGAGGACTCTTCAGGAGGAAAGATTCGGTGAACAAGACATATCTTCGACAGCTCCAATATTGCCTCACTATGTTTACCTTGCATTTCAAAAGCCTGCAACCAAATGGCATCACAAAGATCAAGAATCCAGCAAAGTAGCCAGAAAGGGTAAGATCATGCTTCTCAAACTTATAGATAAGTGGGAAGGGGCAGTCAACCCTGTAGCAAGTTCTAATAACTCTATTAAAAATTTGCGAAAAGAAAAACATATACCACAACTGAAGTATCATATAAATGTCCCGAGACCTTGGTGCCAAGAACTCAGATAATAGATTACACAAAACAAAGGTTTTTGCAAAACAAGACATCAAATGCAATGGTCTATCAGAACCGCCGCCTATATTGACCGATAAATTTCAACACAAAGTTGCTAATGCTTCTTTCTCCTCTGTTGATGAGATGATCCAGGCAGGCAAGAACAGAATGATTTCCCAAGGAGTACTCAACTTCTAAATTATTATTGATAATCTATAAATTCCTATGAAAATAGGAAAGAAAATCATCATCATTTATGTGCAAAAGCTAGCAAATGTAAGAATAAAAGTATGAAAAATTACCCAAGCCTGCAAAAAACAAAAGCGTGTGCGTGCAGCAACACCAGCAGATACCATTCGGGCAGCACGGGTGTTATCAAGTCCAATATTTTCAGCTAGCCCAGCAAGGAATTGCCGAGCATCTTCACCATCAATCTGAACATGGCTAGAGTGACTTGGCGCCCTGCAAAATATCTAAGTACGTTACAAGTTTACTAAAATTGTAGCAGCTCAAGAACATCAAAGTCATGCTAAACATTCAAGCAAGTTAGAAACACAAAGTTACATACATAAAACCAACTGCAACAACTCAAAAGTTTTAACTTTTGCAAAATAAAAATTCCATACCTGCTGCAAACATTTAAAACCAACTCAACAGATGCACGATAGAATGAATCCCGAGTGTTTGTTGTGGCTATGGAGACCCGTACACCAGATGTCCTGCATATTTGACGCAACTGCTCACACATACAGGCAAAAAGAAAGGCCAGCACATGGTTCAAGGATCAGCGAACCAAAAAAGGAAGGGAAATTGCACCAGAACATTAAATCCATTAAAAGTAATTCGGAATTTATCCAAGCTTAAGAGACCACTAATTTCTCCCATTCTAATTCATAAGAATGAAATAGTGACAACATAGAGGGTAGAGCGAAGCAAGCACATATTACACTGCATTAAACACAATCATCAATCATATTTTTTCAAGCATATTAATATCATAGAAAGTAGACTGACAATAGCAAGGGATTTAGTATTTCGACTCCCTAGGACTAAGTTAACTATTCTACATTACACAACACAACCTCATAAGGAATCCTGAATGCATTCAAAATGAAGTGAGATAAATCATGATAGTTACAGCAAAAAAGAAAAAATGAATGACCTAGAATTTTCTGGACTATAATACAGTGAGAACTAAATAAAAAGTTTAAAAAGGCACTGACTTGAATTATGTCCTCCTCGGTGATGTCCTTTCCACCCAATCTACTGTCGATGATTGCTGCATAAGAAGTTGGTAAGTTGCACTAGAAGATGTTAAGCATGGATATCTATAACAAGTAGAGATATTTGAAGAAAAAAAAAGAGCAACTTTTACGGGGACAATGTTCAGTAATACTATTGAATGCAACCAAACATTATGCAAACAAACATGAATTAGAATTAGTAAAAATAGTAACAACAACCTACCTCTGATCAATCTGTTGGCCTGAGTCTGGTAGTACTCGGAATTGAAGACGGAACCTTCTTTGGGCACTGAATCCATTTCCGGCCACCATTTTGGCAACTTGTCCCCGAGCTGGACTTGGAGGCGTGGATAATTGGTCTTGGTGCTAAGAGGCCGAGCCGCGGATAAGGATAATGGATTGTCCAAAGCCCTGAAACTAGGAGGGTCACCCCCATCCCTCTTTGTCCCTACAACCACCTCTCTTCCTCCAAGACTCCGGTCCCTCCTAACAATAACCTTGTGTTTAGGCCTAAAGCGAGCTTTCAAGCCCAACCCCAGCTTCACCAAGACTGTGAAAGCAAAAACAATGACGAAGCCACAAGTGAGGAAAGCAGCAAGAAATTGAAGGGTGGACTTGCGGCAGGATAGTTGAAGGGTCCGAGTATCAGGATCGATTTGAACCAAATTGCGGAGGTCCTGGAAAGCGTCTGTGGAGAAAGAGATGAGGCGGTTTAGATTGGAAGAAGACAGGGAAGAAATCTGGTCAAAATCGAGGACCAATTTGACAGTGGGGTTGTCTGGGGAGTTTTGGAACTCGATGCTCCGTCTAAGGCTAAGGTTGTGGTTGTCGTAGTTTGGATTCCTTGGAAGGCGAGAACGGCGCGAACGGCGTGGAGTGGAGAAGGAGAGCTGCGGCGACCATGTTTTAAGTTGGGTGCTGCTGAACAGAAACAGAGGAGAAGGAGAATGGAAGGGCAAGGGGAGGCAGTGGCTCTTCAGACAGTTCATCTAAACTAATCAAAGTTAAAAAAATTACGTAGACATTAAGCATAAAGCAGACAAGGAATTGAGTAAAAGGTGCTAGCCTAGCCTAGGAAGATTTCATTTCAAATTTGGGTGGAACAGGCTACACTTAGGCTTTGCCGGAGAGAAACGAAACGAATCAGAGCTTCGTTCGTTTTGTTAGTTGCAAAGTTGAGTTGGACTTGTTCTACTAATTTAATCACATAATTGCGAAGTATGTAGGTTTGGATTTCCAAAATGAACATTGCCAATGAAAAAACACACTCATGGCCTTCATGTATACCATTCATTTCATGACTCTTGTCTGAGTTTTCGACGCAAGCTTCCTGCCTGTCTGGTTCCAAAATGAGCATCGCCAGTGGAAAAAACACACTCATGGCCTTCGTTTATAGCATTCCTTTCAGTGCTCTCAAAACCAAATGACAATTACTCAAATAGGTATCAATATCGAGCATACCCTTTTCTCATTTTTTTGTAGCATCGTATCAAAATAAAAGGAAATTCTAATCCTATATTAGAAAATAAAAATATATATATATATATTACGATTTGGCCAAAAAAAATATTTGTTCTCTATACCTGGTCTAAGGTAATAAAGAATACAAATAGCAACAAACACATGATGTTTGTATTTTGGTGGGATCCAGCACCAACCAACCCAATCGCACCGCTCTTCTCTATCTACCATCCACCATCGGCTTCTGGATGGCTGACCCAAGAAAATTATAGTAACAAATAACCTCATTTTTAAGGTTTTATTCCCATTAAATCTTCCGGAAACTGCTTTCTTTATCTTTAATCTCTTCTCTGCCACTATCCAACATCTCCTGCCCAAAGAATTCCTTCTAACAAATTCCCTGCCTGCAACACATTGCAACAACTGTGTCAACCTAAGAAGCAGCTAGACTCGCACTGTTGAATCACAAATATCAATCTTAGTAATACATGGCTTTCCAATTATTCATTCTGTTCTCATCTAGACTTTAATGCCTAATCCATCCGCCAAGGGGGGGCAAGTTTGGTCCAGGTTGTTACAATCTTCAAGACAAATCTCTCTAATAAAAAGATCGGTCAAGGGAGTGCTTACCACAAAATGAGCAACCACAATTTACAATCATAACACTCTACTTCTTTTCTCAAAAATTTTGTGCAGCAATATAACAACACAGCAAGTGTTTCCAAATTAAAAAACTCCAAGAATAAAAAGGTCATACCACTCTCCAAGAAACTTTAGGTGGGAAGAAGTGGTTGTCTCTCATCAGATCCAACACAATGACTAGCCTAGCAAGAGACAAATTAAAAACATTAAGTGGAGTGCAAGAGACCAAAGACCCTCTCCAAGGTAAAGACAACCACTTTCACAGAAAACTCATACCTCTTCATTTGCTCCTGCTGCCATATTTATGAAAGATTCTTTGGACCTGAAATATATATAAAGGAAAAAAAAAAAACATGTAACTGCAATGCAAGAGCTAACTTAGTTAAAATACTTTTCCATACAGCTAAAAATATTTGAATCAGGTTCCTCTGCCAAATTCTAGTTGAAGCAATAGCACATTCCCTATAAAATTTCATCTAAAAAAGTTCATAAGAAAATTGGAAAAGAAGGGGTATATACCTGTGGTTGTCCTGATAATCTACCAGTTCCAGCTTCCCATTCTGTTGTTCATCTTTGACTTTGGAAAGAGGTGAAAAGAACTACACAGAAAAGTAAAACATCCGAACAATACCACAAAGTAAAGGTCAGCAAGCAGAATTCCCAAATTTTCAGTACTAACTTAGCCATCAATAAGGTAGCATCCTTACTAATTACCTGGTGCATTGAGATGAACACAATAGAAATTCCTAGGATGAAGTTCATGGTCAAAGTATGGCCAAATAGTGCAGCAGATGCTATGCCGGTAAAGATTGTAGCAACAGTTGAAGAATACTTCTTCAAAATTGTATCTGAATCCACAGAACAATGAGTTGAACACAACAATTTTGAGATGGAACAGAAAACTGGTGAGATGCATTCATTGAAGCTATCTTTTACTAAATTCTAATTCCATATGAACTTAGAATAGTCAACGAAAATTCATGAAATTAGATAAGTTATTAGTGTATTACCTGCATATTTGAAGAAAAAAGAGGATAAAATTCCCTGGGCTGCATTGTTAAATATAAGAAGCATAGTAGCTTTCGAATGTCCTTGTAAGATATCAAAGCTACTAGGACCTGGAACAATCCAAATGAGAACGTCAGAATAGCAGATACACAAATGAAGATGGCAGACTGGCTTAATAGTTGCTTATTCAGACAAGAATTGCAGGAGCAATAACCAATAAAGTTCCCACCACAAGTAAATATGTTGGAGCAGAAAGCTTGTTCCAAATTGAAGTATTTAAAGATGAAAATAAAGCACACTAGATCAAAAGTAATTTGACTATAGCCAATAGCTCTTCTGCATATACTTTTAACTTGCTTTACAGAATTGAATATCTTAATACCCTACCGTACCTTTAATAACAGCTGTTCCCAGTATTGCCGCGAAGTTAAATATAGCACCATATCCATATAAAAATAAGTTCTGCAAACCAAAAGAGACAAAAAATTTAGAGGATAACCATATAAAAGTAAGTAATTCTGTATCCTTTCTTGAGAAACCAGGCCAAATAGAAAAATTCCAGTGCTGCCAATCAGAACTCCTAAAATGATCATGCTAGATGGCTGCACATAACACTGATTGTAGCAAAGATAAACCCTCTTCACTAGGTTCCCCAGATAATCAAACTTCCTAATATCTGAGCAATATAATGTCAAGATATATTCTACATAAACCTCGAAAAGGAAAACAAACTAATCTTTTGTAGACATGGCAAGTACAAAGACTGCAATGGTTACCACAATTCTAGCATCAACCAATTACTCCTTTTGAAACTAACAAGCATTTCTCTGCAACAGAAAGAGACCACTAATGCTGAAAAGTCTACAAAATCACCTGAAGATAGATGCTTGTCTCATACTGACTCTTCAAAGCATACTCATTGTAGACGGAGGCCAAAGATGGAACAGTTACCTGACCAATTATTTCCAATGTTAAGCTTCCAGGATGTTAAAAAAGTGTTAAGGGGTAAAAACAAAGATACAAAAGAATGACCAACATAAAACTACTTTCTGTCAAAACTGATTGCATGGCCCACACATAAACCAAGATATCACTAACATATGACTCAAATACCCGAAGCTACTTACAAAAATCAATGTGTAGATGTAAGCACCCGTTGAAACAGGAAGGCCCAATGCTGTAGTACCCTCAGGTAAAGAACGCAGCTGATTTACACTAATTCCAATGAGCAACAGAGCAAGAGCTTCCCACTGCAAATTAACCACAAAATAGCAATGCAACTATCATGTAACACAGATGCCACCGATACCACATAGAACCAAAAATCATATGTGCAGTTAGAGCAATTAAACATTGCATTGATGTGTGCTTTCTTCTGATTGAATTCTTTTTAACCATTAGGTAGTTTCGAGTCTAACCTGTATCACAGAAAATCTACGTCTCATTATAAACTTCAGCAAAACAGCAATTACCAAAACCTGCGTGTTCACCGAGCAGATGTAGAGAATTTTACAAGGAGCAGAAGCAATTATTTAAAACAAAAAATAATTCTAATATCTCAGAGGAATGAAACAAAAAAGTTCCTCCAAGTGCCACTATGCATCAAAGTATAAGCATAATTGAATTGGAAATAATGTTGATGCTAATTAGATGCAATATAGTAAGAACTTGTTCACAATTAGCATGTCCCAATTTGAACCAAGCTCTCTGTATCCAAATTCCAAATAACATACACTCAAAGAAAAGGAGGAGCACAAAATTTCCATAATTAAGCAATGAACTACCCAGCAAACTGCAACTCCAATTAAACCCTCAGCAGGAATGAAAGTATAACAGCTGAGAAACAAGAATTCTGAAAACGATAATGAACATCTGATTGTGCAATAAACTAGCCAGCAAATGTTAGCATCAATGGAAGAATGGTACTATAGAATTACTCATCAGCATTGAAGCATCACCACCATAATATAAAGAAAAGTTCCAAGAGCTAAGGTCACAAACAAATTGAAGGTAATAGCTGCAAAAAAGAACAAAGATTTGATGGATTATTACAAACTGAAGTTACCTTCAGGTTGCTCAGCATCTTCACAGTTGCAGGATTGAAATAAAGCTGCCAATAAGCAATTGACACTGATTAGTAATGACTTATGACCTTTATCATGCTAAAAACAGTCCCAAGAAACAGAACAACACCAGTCAGAATATAGAAAATTAAAAACATCGACTGCACAAATACTACCCAACAATATTAATAAAACGCCAAGAGGAACCATTTAAAGAAATATACCTGCATAATGAACTTCAGATAGTTATTGATGGCATACAGGAGTGCTGGAACAGCAAGAAGAACATTGTTCCGAGCTGCCTGCAAGAAATGATGCTCGTTGCTGGGATTATATTATGAATAATGAATCATTTCAGCATTACACCTTTCATGCCAAGAATGATAAAACATTATCATTATCTAGTACTCATGATTAATATGCAAAACCATAGTTGAACTAGGCAATCAGTAGCTTCAAATAGAAATTTTCAACTCATAGACTTTTACTATTACAATTTATCCTACTAGTCCAAATCAAGTATAAATCAAGTATGTCATTAACAAATTTGTACCTGCATGAATGTGGAAATTGACAGAAGGGGCTTTTCGCCAACTTTCTGATTTCTAGCCTGTAAACAGGTAAAAATGGTTTCGATGAGATTGCTAAAGAGTTCATAAATACATTAAGTCCTCATATTCCCCCACCTCCCGATGCCAGAATGCACTTCAAAATATTTCATCAGCATCAAACAGAAAAGTTACAGTCGCATGATAGAACCATACAAAGATCAATAGATATTAGGTCAATTTAGGGCATGCCACACTTCACTTCAAAAAATCAACCCAATTTATCCAAGTAGAAACATTGACTCAAATAAAGAAATACAAGTTAAGAAATAATTTGCATGTACCTGGAAAAAAAGCATAACAACTGCAAATAGAACCTTTGCAGCCTCTGTCAAAAAGTTAACACTAATGGGGCTAAACATGAAGCGCCCATCCACCTTGGACATATAAACCAAAATAGGCTGGCAGAAAAAGAAAATATCAGACACATGAAGAATCAAGATTGAGTCGAGAGGCAACCAAACCAGGACAAGCTAAAATGCGTAATTGCAGAAAATTGAGGAAGGGGCAGGGGACAAACAAATAGGTATGTGTATAAATGTAATAAAAGCAGAAATTGATAATGAATTACTTGGAAACCAACAAGAACACAGTCACCAACAACCAAGAACACATTAAGGGCACGTTGCTTTGATGATACCCTGCTTTTGTGGCGGTCATAAGCCCTAGACACACCTCTGGTAGTTGGGGAAACCAGCTTCGAATGGCAGACACTGCATTCTATCATCCCGTTTTTCATTGGTTTGCCCCAAAACTATCACGACA